CTTCCCGTTATATTTGTGAAACTGGACTATCAGTATGTGCAACAAAAAGGAAAATATTATTAGCATGTTAAGAATTATATATTAATTATTGTTTCAAAGAAAAAAGGATCCAGAGTTAAATGATTATCTGATAGTGAACTATCTTGTTACGCGACAAAATAGAATATTATTTTTGTTATTATTTTGTTATTGTCATATTAACTAACATTAGTTAATTTTTTATAAGGATTTAGGGTTAAACAATTGATTCAATAGTGAACAATCTTGTTACGCGACAAAACAGAAAACATTATTATATTATTATTTAAAAAAGGATCTAGGGTTGAACGATTGATCTTATGGTGAACAATCTTGTTACGCGATAAAGCAGAAAACATTATATCATATTAAGAATTGCGATCTTGTTACGTAATCAATAATATTACATATGTATATATTATTATATTATAATATTATTATTGTTTTAAAAATTATATTTTTTGGGCAATTAGGGAAAATTTTCCAAAAATCCGTTAAACCAGATATCCGCTATATCGAGAAGGTTTTTATTATGGAACCGTTCTTTGAACGTTATCCGTAAAGCCGAGATTTTTAATTAGTATCCGCTAAATCGAGATTCACTGTATATTTTTTATAAAATAAATAATTGCAAATAGCTAGCAAACTATATGATGGCGAAGAAAATTTGGAGTTAGATCGGTCTAAAAGGTTTATATTTATATTTTTCTTATTTTAAGTTGCAATAAATTATATTTGTTTCAGGTTGGGTGCTTAAAAAAAAAACAAATGAAACCAATTAAAGAATAGATCCAAAGGTCAAAACTTGCTAGAAGTTATGTTTCATGCAGTAACAATAAATCCAACCAAAAATGACAGCTAAAAATATGCACAAAGAACTTTTAAGCGTGTAGAACAAGGTGAGCTCGAAGCAGAACTTCTACCATTGCTAATTGGATAACTAGAAGGCAGAATAAACATTGGATTTACTATTTTAAAATATTATCGTCCAATAAAATAATAATGAATATTCAGGATTTATGATAAAAAAAAATTACTATTTTTTGATCTTTAATCCGACGTACACATAATAACTAAAGAAAAGTTTTCCTGGAATTGTATCAGTGGATCTGCAAATTACTTCCTAAAATCATATTAATATATATAAAAATGAAAGTAAAACGAATGTCGCACCATTTTTTTACATTAAACTTTTGCTTTCTTCGAAGAGTCACACAAAATTCATTTACACTTCTATTTCAAAATGTCTGGAATCTGTTTAGCTCGTCTCACTGAAGAACGTAGGCAATGGAGAAAAGATCATCCTTATGTGAGTGTTTAACGAATGTATATTTATGTATGTATATTTTGGTATATTAAAACCAAAAACCTTTTACTTTTTACAATAAAGGGTTTTTATGCCAGACCAATGAAAAACGAGAAAGGCTTAGATTTATTAACTTGGCAAGCTGGCATTCCAGGAAAAAAAGGAGTAATTATATATAGTCACTAATTTTTTTTTATTTATTGATCATATTTGTTAAAAAAGAGTTTTCAGCTTTTTTTATTTTTTAAAAAGTAGCGTTGTAAATACTATTATTTAATTTATTAAAAAAAATTTTTTTTCAGACACCTTGGGAAAACGGTGTTTATAAAATGATCATGACATTTCCTGAAGGTAGGCTTATTTCCTTATTATTTGGACAGAATCATATTCTCTAAAAATTTCGCGATTTATTATAATTTGGGTATATATGCTTTATGAAGTGAGTGCAATCATTTGTCTTGTGTATACTTGATGTTTATTAATTAATAATTAATGCTATTTGATTTTTTGGTTGTTGTCATAGATTATCCTTCAAAGCCACCAAAATGTAAGTGTAGTAGTCAAAGTTTAATTGTTCTATAGGTTAGACAAAAAAAAAATATATTTATTAATTATTAATAATAATGAATATTATTATTATATAGGTAAATTTGCACCGGCTCTCTTCCATCCGAACGTCTATCCATCTGGCACAGTTTGCCTTTCTATTTTAAATGAAGAAGAGGATTGGAAACCTGCTATTACCATCAAGCAGGTAATAAACCTTTTTTTCGTTCCAACTTTCATAAAATAATTTGTTTATAAAATTTTTTTTTTGAAAATAGATTTTATTAGGTGTCCAAAATCTTTTAGATGAACCAAATCCTGAAAGTCCTGCGCAATCTGAAGCTTACATGTTGTATAAGTAGGTGTTTTTTAACTTTACATCTTTAAAGATTACAACTTTCAAAAATTTTTTTTGCTTATAACCTTTTAATTTCATTAGGAAAGATCGTGTTGCATACGAAAAAAAAATAAGACAACAAGCAAAAGACAATCCAGCATAAAAATAAATTTACGTTATTAAGTATGTAAATACTAAATTAAATATTTATAGATTCATCTTTATTATATACATGTTAGAAACTATCTATTATTTGATTCAATTACTTCTTGTTATATTTTTATCTTTTTTATTTGAATAGTTATCAATAAATTTTGCTATCATTACCATTTTATTAAATTTATTTGAAGTTTGCAGTTCATGTAACACAAATTTTTGGATTTCCCTTTCAAAATAAAAAAATTATGGACAAGTTGGATTTTTTTCTTGTTTGCATAGTAACATTTTATTTTGATATTATGTCCCTTTACAAAGGTCGAAGAAAGTTTTAATATTCAAGTAACACGTGATATTTTGGAATATGAAGTTGATATTGAAGGTTTAGAAAACATGAGGTTTCATAAAATAATAAACATTTTTGAATTTCCTAGAACTTTTTATAGGTTCTTTAATATTGAGTGGAATAAGTTGACCTATTATACATATTATGAAAATTTTAATTCCTACTTGGATTAAATTTTATTCCCAATATGTTGATAAGTTATCTTTTTAAATTTAAAAAATAATAAGGTAGGTCAATTTTATTTTATGTAAGATAAATTCTAATCGAATAAATAAGTAAATCATCTTTGCTTATGAATAAAAAAAGTTCGAATCATTTTTGGTTTATTTAATGTATATACACTTTCTTGTCTTCAATCATCAATCAAAAAATCATTTGTCAAAAAAGTTGCTATTTTATTTGGCATTATAAGTGGTCGTCAGTTTCATACAATATTTTGGGCAGGCAGAACATTACCAAACATGTTTACATATCCATTAGGTAACTAAAGAAGAAATCTTTTATTTTTATTTTTTATGATGAATTATTTATACCTAAGAAAATTCATATATATAGTATTAAGGTTTTCTCGTTGGGTGATGGCTACAATTCATCATCACCACCACCATCACCTTCTAAAGTTTCGAAAATGAAAAAACGCATGTCTTCAATGATCCATTATTTAATTTTATGGCAGTAATATTTTGTTTCGAGGTTTCAACATTACTTTCTTTGATCTTAATACTGGAATTATCACTTAGAAATTTGAATTTTTATGAGTTACTTCATCAGCTAACTGTTGCTATTCCTGTTCATTTAGGTAGATAACCAATATTTAGTTATTACTACATATAACTCGTATATTCATAAGTATATTAATGAATATATATATGTTTTTTTATACATTCAAATACAGCATTAACCTTAATTATTGATTCATACTTTTGGCAAGCATTTATGTGGCCAGCATTTCATTTCAATGTAATATTGGGCAAAAGTGTGGACTGGGGAGCAAGTATAGTTCTTACAAAAGCTAATATATTTAATATATATTTTTTTCTATCAAATATTTATCAAAAGGTTCATCTTTTCACATCTATCTCGCATCTTTATTGTTAAGTATACTTTCAATATTTGTGGATCGACATATTATGAATTTTTCTCTCCATGATAATTTTTGTGTTTTTATTTATGTGTTCAGCACTTGGAATTAATTGTATGGATGTATGTAAATTGAATTTTTATATGTATATTTAATTACTTAATCATTAATATTTATTATTATTAAATTTATAATAATAATAATAATAATAAAGCAAACAACATGTATCAATATTAGTTCATAATTTGTTAAAGTTGATTATGGGACTTCTTTTTTTAAGCCTTCTTTTCATAAGTTTGTTGATGGCTATTATTTCAAGTTATAATTACCCTGGCGGAGTGGCTTTACAAAACTTGCATGTTATTGAAAAATGATTTCTTGGTGGTAAGAAATTTTTTATAATTTAATTCCATTTTATTTTTTTTAAAAATATATATCTTATATTTATATATATATAGCTAGAATACATATAAATGTTGATTCAGCAATGACAAGTGTATCCAGATTTGGTGAATTGAGAAATGGCTGACATTACTCAAAAGATGAATCACATTTGTCGCCAGAAGATTATAAATCATATATACACATTTATTAACTTCTAAACCTAAATTTCATGAAGGTAGTTTTACCATCATTGATATGGTTGATGGATATCAATTTTTGAGAATCCAAAAAACAAATGAACTTACTCTGGTGTGGATTGATTTGTTTAATCTACTTGTTAGCTATAAAAAAAACAATTATTATCAGTTTAAAGAAATGTTTGAATTGGTCTTTCCTATATGGATAGTTTTGAAACCAAAAATATGGATAATGAAAAAAAGAAAAGATGATAATGACAAATAAAAAAGATTTTCAATTCTTTGAATGAGACTGATATTAAAATTGAACTTGTCAAAAATATTATTTATTAATGAATGTAAAGTTGATGATCACTATATTATTGGTTTTTGATTAATTTAATAGGTGAGTTATGGATATTAAATAATAAATTTATACTAATGTTGAAAAAATAATAATGATTCATCGCAAAATCTGATTTTTTTTATTAATAAAATAGCTTTTCCATCCATCCATTCTCATATATTTCATCTCTATCGTCGTCTTTGCCTTTGTCCATGTCCATGTTCTCATTAACATTTTGATTTTTTGATTTTGTAGTAATAATCATGGGATTTATGAACTTTATTAGAAAATTCTTTTAATCATTCTAGCCTTTATAAAACCTTTCTTGCATCTCATCTCTATCTTTTTGTAATTCTTCTTCATCTGCATCAGCTATTTGATGACTTAATTGAGTCTCTTTGCTTATAAGTCTTTGAAATTTAACCCATCCTTGTTCATCGACTTGATTAGATGACTTCTCCTGTATTTTCGATATTGAACCTTTTGAACTATCATTAATTTTATTGCTCCCAATACTATTATTATTGTTGTTGTTATCATTCATAATAGGATCATCAAAAAAATCCGTGGGTAACTAACTTTTCCGGGTTTTCTTCCTTTACTTTCTCCAGTTCTTTTTCTTTCATTAATACTTCTTGTGGTTGTTGTAGTTTTTTATTTGAAGCTGTTATATTTTTGTCGACATTTATAGAATTGTTAGATAACAATTTCTTTAATGTCAACATTATTACTAAATTCTATCTTCCTAATATTTATTTTTTCTTCCTCATCACTGTCGTTACTGTTGTAATTAATTTTTTAACTGTTCTTTCAGACGGATTTTCCATATCTGAATTTTTTTTTTAATATTAAATGAGTTGATCTGATAAATAAATAAAAGAAAAAACAATAACGTAATTTTTAATTTTATTTTGGCATATTACATAATGATATTAATGATATTAATATTAATATTAGCCAAATTTCTTGTAAACTCGATAAGTCGTCATTTATTTATATTACCAAGCAATTTAAACAATTGATTGCTGCGTCCGACTTATCAAGTTTAGTTTACATGTGTATTTTAAATTGCTTATTTTGTAACATTTTTTAAAAGATAAAAAATTCTGATATTGTTCTATGTTTTTGATCATCAATCATTTATATATATAAAGAAGGAATTTTATCAAGATCATCTTTAATCTTACATTTAATCATTTATATTTTGTGTAAAAATACCACCGCCAATTTCTTGCTGAAACAAGTTTAAGTTCCTTGTACAATTTGTTATAAAATCTTTCGAATTTTTATTATTAATTATTAAATTTATTATTTAACGAAAAAATTAAAATAAAATGTCTAAACGTGAATTAATTCTCAAATCATTAAATCTTATTGTCTACTTTGCAATTCTTGGTGTTGCCTTTAGTGGCCACTTGGATCATGATAAAAAAAAAAGAGATGATGTTTACCTTTTACCAGCCCATTACACCTTTCAGATTTGGCTCCTCAACCAAGCTCTACTTTTTGGATTCGTAGTTTATCAATGGTTTGAACCTGCTAATGATGTCACAGTTGAAGGTGTTAGTTGGCATAATGTCATTGCTGGTACATTATCCATCATTTGGATGATACTTGCTGTAAGTATATTATCATCATTATCATTATATTTTTGATAAAAATTAACCAAGTTTTCTTTTAGCCAAATGGAAAACTCGTACTGTTGGAAGCATTCATTTTATTGGCCATGTTCATTGTTTTGTTCCGTTTATATGACAACTTATCACTTTATCCACCAAGAAATTTAGCAGATCGATTATTTATTCATTATGGATTCACCATTTATACCGCTTGGACCTTCTATGCCACCATTGTCAACTTCTGGATTGCGTTACCATCCCTTAACACCATTGTTTCAAGTGTTGTGGCCATTGTAATTCTTGGTATAGTTGGTCTTTCATTTGTTGATTACCACAAACGTCATGATGTTGTCTATGCTGGTACCATTGCTTGGGCTTTGATTGGTATTTCTGTTGAACAAAAGGATGTCATGCCAATTCTTGTTGCATCCTCAATCTCTTCTGGTTTGATCATAGGAGGAATCTTGAGAGTATGGACTCGTAACATTGTTACGTGGTTTCGTCTTCGTAGTGAAAGAGAAAGTATTGGAGAACGATCTGCATTATTAGCATAAAATATTGTTAGAAATTTATTTTATCTTTATATAACAAATTCATTCACTTAATGTATCAGTGTTAAAAATAATGTTTATTATATTAATAATAGTAACCACATATTATATTGTATTAAAAAAATAAAATTTATTTATAAATTTATTATCATTATTATTCATCATCATAATTAACATCATTTTTTTGTTTGAAAAACAGCTCCCTTGATAATTTGATTAAACATTTGTGAAATAATGTAAGAAAACTCATTACTCGTTTGTAGAAAACCAGGAAAATTTAGTATAATTATTTAGTAAAAAGAGTTTTACTGCATTTGCTAAACATTTTTTAAATCATCAACTAAAAAATCAAACCTGTAAATCCCAATACGTTACCCAATGGCATGTATTAAGTAGCCTTGCTCACAACATTAACTTAAAATTACAAAAATTCCAGAACAATTGAATTTGTCCATTTTCCCTTATTTACTTGAAGACAAGTATTTGTCAAATGTATTATTAACTTATCATCAACATTATCAAGTGTACAATGCTTCGGTGCAAGTAATGTTGGTATGTTTATGTAATAATAAAATAAATTTGGTGCAAGTCACTTAGTTGCTGAACTTTTATTGGTTGCGTATATCCTTTAATTCCTCCAAAAATAGAAATGTATGGCCAAAAAAAAACAAATAGAATTAAAACCAAACGTTACCATGAAGGAATTAAGCCTCAAAGTTTCACGAGTTTACTATGTTAACCCCAAAAATGGCAAAAATAATGAATTGGAAATTTAAGCAAGTTATTACAAAAACCAGCTTATTGAAATTTCGAAAATTTTTTTTTTATTATGTAACAAACTTGTGAAACTATGGTAACGTAAAATACGTATTACGTATTACGAAATTAATTACGAATAATAATAGCAATTGAAAATAATACAAGTCACTTCCGTTATAACGACACTCTCCGTGCAAGAAAAAAAGTCAGTATAACGAAATTGTCATTATTATAACGGGAGTTCATATAAAAGTCATGTGAGAACCATTGTCATGTGATTTTATAATTTATTTTTTTTATATATATATAGCACATGTAAACTCGATAAATTGGACGCAGCAATCAATTGTTTAAAGTACTCGATAATATAAATAAATTGGCCGACTTATCGAGAGAACCGAGTTATCGAATTTCACGTGATTTTTTAATTTTAAAATTTTTAATTTTTAAAATATTTATTTATTTATCTTTTATCTCAAACATTAGAAGGTTGCAAAATCAATCTTTTTTACATATTTCTGAACATAATAAAATTTAATAGGAATACAAATGTATTTCTTCACACTAGATAATCAATTATATAAGTGATGATGTAAAAATGATGATATAAAAATGAGATAAATAAATACAGATGTGTTGTTTGTGATTAGACAAGAATGTTATCTAAATTCTTGATGATATAACTGATGAGATAATAATATATTAATGCATTATTCATGATAAATTAATGATACAATTGATGATACAACTGATGAGATAATAAAATATTAATGCATTGTTCATGATAAATCATCAAATGATTGAAGTCTCTTATTAAAATTACTTGACAAGAAAAAATGGATGTGTGATTATGCATTATAATTGATGGAGGTAATAAATATGAATGTAGTTCACAAGTGAAAATGCTCTCTTCCTTCTAATTATAAAAAATGAACAATAAAGATGGTTTTTTACATCAGATATTTTATTACAAATAATCATTTTGCTAATGATGAAATATTACGAATAAAAAAATTATTAAATCACACATAGTGATGATAGCCCTTCACATAATGAAATATCATGTGAGACTGACTTATTGTGATTCATTTAATTATACTTGGGCTAAGTGATTGACTGACTTAGCACTTATCATGACTTTATATAGATTGACCAACTTATTGAATTTTTTAAATAGTAAAAAAAAGGGTGAAATTTTTTGGCCAAGTTAGGCCAAAACTGACTTATTGAGTATAACTTTTTTTTTATTGAATTTATTGAAATTACTTCCATTCATATTATATGGGTCAGAATTGAACAGCATTATACAGAGGTGTTACCAGAATTTTCCATGATGCTGGTCAATTTTATCCCGGCATAAGCTCCCTTATTATTATTATAATAATAACAAGTGTCATTATAATGGAATAAATCTAATAATAATAATAATAATAATAATAATAATATATAAAAAATTTTGACAAATTATAATGGGATAATAGTCGGTATCATTACAGTCAAACCTCATTTCAACGGATCTATGGGACTGACCACCTAAATCCATTGAAATGAGATAATGATCAACAGATCAACAGAAAATTTTTTGATAGGAAAATATTATATACAGAAAGGTTCTTTTTATGGAATATACAGTACCCTACCAAAAATGGAAATTTATTATATAAAAAGGAAATAGTTCAAATTTTTATAACATCCTCATGACAGTTATCTATAGGTGACGATTAAACTTGTGAGGCTTTGGGTGGCAGGAGTTATGGAATGCTTACCAACTCCAAAATTAATTCTTATTTGTCACATACATTCTGTATGCCGTAAATCTGGAAAGATAGCACCCCTACTTTAAAACAATTGATCATCAATATAAAAAAAATGTTACACATATGTAAAAAGGGGATGCTATCTTTCCAGACTTTACAGTATTTCATAAAAAGAACCTTTCTGTTTATAGGATGACCCCTTTTTTTGTCTAATGATTTAAGGAAAATATTATATAATAATTAATAGTCAATTATTTACTGAAAAAACTAGTAATGGATATTTGTATTGAATTTTGAATACTATATGATTTTATTTTTTTTTTCAATGATTTTAAAACTTTCAATTCATTATAATCTGCTTGTATATTATTTTGTTCAAGAAAATTAAAAGCAGTTTTAAAAGCTTTTTCACGTTTTTTGGAAGAAGAAGAGACATTTCAATTTCATAGAATTTAGAGATTTATTAATTTAAAGAAATCAAAGGAAATGTTGATTATGTAGAATCATTAGAAGATATTTATTATTACCAGTTTAGAAATATGGAAAATTTAATTAATATTATTATTTAGTGATGTGTGTTTAATTATTTGTGTAAGATCATTATTTATAAATAGGGAAAATTTGATAAATATTATTATTTAGTAATGTGTGTTTAATTATTTGTGTAAAATCATTATTTGGAAATATGGAAAATTTTGATTAATATTATTATTTTAGTAATGTGAGAATTATTCATGTAAAATCATATTGACATTTTTGAGAATCCTTCAATTTGTTTATATTATTATTTAGCAATTAATTAATCTTAACATAGTAATGTGGGGGGTTTTTTTTATAAAATCTATATCATGTGACTCATTTGAAACGAGTTTTAAATATAAAATCCATTGAAATGAGAATCTTTAATTATAATTAATAAAATCAAGGGGTAAAACCAAAAATCCATTGAAACAAGGGTTCGACTGTATAACGGAGTAAATTTATATTCATAAAATTGGGTTTTTTAAAAATGACATAATAGATAACAAGATTGTCATTA